AGCACAGTTCTCGGGACTCCAACGCCGCGAATCGACCTGACTGTTGCGTCTTGACGATCCTGAACCGTGCCAGAACACCATTCCTGGGAATCCAACACCGCGAATCATCGTAACTGGTGCGCCTCGACAATCAGAATATTTCCAAAACGTCATGTCTGGCACGTGACCCATGGGACTCCATGAACCTCTTTCGAATGTTTGAGACGAGTGTGCGTGGCGCATGAGTGAGAACCATATGTTGAAAAGGAACCGCCTTCAACCGGTGACATTGTTGAAATTTTGTAATACGGATGTGCGCGGCGCTAAGGCGAGAGCCACAATGCAGAAAGTTGCCGCCCTCATTCCGTGAAGCTTGTGTTGCACATTGTCAAAACAGATGTACGCGGCGCTAAGGCGAGAGCCACATTTTGAAAACGATCCGCCCTCACTCCGTGAGCTCTTGTAGTTTTTAGGATGAGTGTGCGTGGTACTTAGGCGAGAGCCATATTTTGGGAGCGGTCCTCCCTCCGTTTGTAAAGCGGTTGCATTGTTTCAAGCTTCAGGTCAGGAATGGTACGGAAGCCTTCGGCGAAACGCCTGGCACGCCCTTCCGATCGGCCTCGGGGTGCGACAGGAAGGAGTTATTTAGAAAGAGAAGGAATGTAGTGAAAGGGGGAGGGCGAGGGCGAGAAGGATAATGACGTGGATGCGGAGGAGAACGACGACTGTTGACGAAACAATCGACGACGACGTCGACGGCGCAGGCGGATCAGGAGCAGGAGGGCGCGCGAACAGTCTTAGGAACCACTTTGGCTTAAAACTCGCTGTTTGGGATACTGGATTCTGGCTTTATTGAATCGCTTTGCTCATTCCGCTGGCCTATAATTGCGTGCCGTTGTCGACTGACGGACTGGTCTTTCGCGGTGCGGAGCTGCAGGGGTGAGGCTTCTTGGTGGCCGCTGGGGGAGTCTTGAACGCGTCGCGGGTCGTCTGGAAGCGTTTTGCCTCTGGGGACTCTTTCGGGAGGCCTCTTGGTGGCCTCGTGGGGACTCTTAAACGCGTCGGGTCGTTGGCACTTGCTTGCGTGCTCGAGGGGGTATTTTGGAGGCCTCCTGGGGCCGTTTGGGGGCCTCTTGGGGGCCTCCTGGGGGCCTCTTAGGGGCCTCTTAGGGGCCTCTTGGGGATTCCCGGGGGCTTCTTAGGGCCGAGGGCTCGAAACGTTGGTTCGTGTTCCCCCCCCTGGGACCTCATTTGAGGCGTTCTTGGGGCCTTCTTGAGCCGTCTTGGAGGCCTCTTGGGCCGTTTTGGGGCCCTCTTGGGCCGTTTTGGGGCCCTCTTGATGGCCTCTTATGCTCTCTTGGGGCGGTATTGGGGGCCTTTTGGGCCGTCTTGGGATTTCGGGAAGCCGAAAAGGTGGAAACGCCCAAATCTCTAGAAGACCAAAGGAAAAACAATGATTTTGGCTGTTGGGGCCCTCCTGGGGCTGCTCTGGGAGCCTCTTTCTCGGGGTCTCCTGAGGGCCTGTTGGGGGCGTCTTGGGCTCTCTTAGGGGCCTCTTGGGGGCTCCTGGGGTCTTCTTAGAGCCGAGAGCTCGACATGTTGATTGGTGTTCCCCTCCTGGGACCTCTCTTGGGGCGTTCTTGGGGCCTTCTTGAGCCGTCTTGGAGGCCTCTTGGGCCGTTTCGGGGCCCTCTTGGGCCGTCTTGGAGCCCTCTTGGGGGCCTCGTGTGCCCTCTTGGGGCGGTCTTGGGGGCCTCCTGGGCCGTCTTGGGGTTTCGGGAAGCCGAAAAGGTGGAAACGCCCAAATCTCTCGAAGACCAAAGGACAAGCAATGATTTTGCCTCTTGGGGCCCTCTTGAGAGTGCTCTGGGAGGCTTGTTGGGCCGTCTGGTGGGTATCTTGTGCGTCTTGGAGCGATCTTGTAGCATCTCGGAGCTCTGTTTTATCATCTTGAGGGGCTCTTGGCGGCCTCTCGGCCTTTCCTAGGGCTCCCTGGACGGCCTCGAGGGCGGCGCCCATGAGGAAAACCATCTCTGAACAGCAGCGCCCAGGCCCTGTCCAGGGTTCTTTTCTTCCGGGGACCCTTGAGGGGCCGCCCCGCGCGCGCTAAGCTGAATTACTGTAAAGCAGTTACCGGAGATCTTAGCACGCCTCTGGCCCGTTGGGCCGGCGAATTTTTGTCCCAACCCTCCTGGTTGGGTAGTCGTTTTGAATAGAGCACTGTGGTCGCGTCCTCCTCCCGCCCTCCCCTGAGGTCGCCGTCCCTGGGGGGCTGCGACCTGCCAAACTGTCGCCACTTTCGAGGGCTGCTGGCGGATCCAGCGGAGTGAGGCACCGCGCAGACCTGAGCGAGACCTCGCCGTCCCTGAGGGGCTGCGATCTGCGATCTGCGAAACTGTCGCCACTTTCGAGGGCTGCTGGTGGGTCCAGCGGAGTGAGGCACCGCGCAGATCTGAGCGAGACCTCGCCGTCCCTGGGGGGCTGCGATCTGCGAAATTGTCGTCGCTTTCGCAGGCTGCTGGTGGGTCCAGCGGAGTGAGGCACCGCGCAGATCTGAGCGAGACCTCGCCGTCCCTGGGGGGCTGCGATCTGCGAAACCGTCGCCACTTTCGAGGGCTACTGGTGAATCCAGCGGAGTGAGACACCGCGCGGACCTGGCGAGACCTCGCCGTCCCTGGGGGGGCTGCAATCTGCGAAACCGTCGCCACTTTCGAGGGCTTGGGTCCAGCGGAGTGAGGCACCACGCTGACCTGAGCGAGACCTCGCCGTCCCTGGGGGGCTGCGATCTGCGAAACTGTCGCCACTTTCGAGGGCTGCTGGTGGATCCAGTGGAGTGAGGCACCGCGCGGACCTGAGCGAGACCTCGCCGTCCCTGGGGGGCTGCGATCTGCGAAACCGTCGCCATTTTCGAGGGCTGCTGGTGGGTCCAGCGGAGTGAGGCACCGCGCAGATCTGAGCGAGACCTCGCCGTGCCTGGGGGGCTGCGATCTGCGAAACCGTCGACACTTTCGAGGGCTGCTGGTGAGTCCAGCGGAGTGAGGCACCGCGCAGATCTGAGCGCGACCTCGCCGTCCTTGGGGTGCTGCGATCTGCGAAACCGTCGCAACTTTCGAGGGCTGCTTGGGGGGACAGCATGGCGATCTGCGAAACTGTCGCCACTTTCGAAGGCTGCTGGCGGGTCCAGCGGAGTGAGGCATTGCGCAGATCTGAGCGGGGCCTCGCCGTCCCTGGGGGCTGCGATCTGCGAAACCGTCGCCACTTTCGAGGGCTGCTGGCGGTTCCAGCGGAGTGAGGCACCGCGTGGACCTGAGCGAGATTTCGCCGTCCCTGAGGGGCTGCGATCTGCGAAGCTGTCGCCACTTTCGAGGGCTGCTGGTGAGTCCAGCGGAGTGAGGCACCGCGTGGACCTGAGCGAGATTTCGCCGTCCCTGAGGGGCTGCGATCTGCGAAGCTGTCGCCACTTTCGAAGGCTGCTGGCGGGTCCAGCGGAGTGAGGCATTGCGCAGATCTGAGCGGGGCCTCGCCGTCCCTGGGGGCTGCGATCTGCGAAACTGTCGCCACTTTCGAGGGCTGCTGGCGGTTCCAGCGGAGTGAGGCACCGCGTGGACCTGAGCGAGATTTCGCCGTCCCTGAGGGGCTGCGATCTGCGAAGCTGTCGCCACTTTCGAGGGCTGCTGGTGTGTCCTGCGGAGTGAGGCACCGCGCAGATCTGAGCGGGACCTCGCCGTGCCTGGGGGGGCTGCGATCTGCGAAATTGTCCCTGCTTTCGAGGGCTGCTGGTGGGTCCAGCGGAGTGAGGCACCGCGCAGATCTGAGCGGGGCCTCGCCGTCCGTGGGGGGCTGCGATCTGCGAAACCGTCGCCACTTTCGAAGGCTGGTGGAGGGTTCAGCGAAGCGAGGCACCAGGCAGATCTGAGCGAGACATCGCAATCCTTGGGGGGCTGCGAGCCTCACGAATGCCGCTCGCAGAAGTATATGCGCCCATGTCACGTCATCACCTCCGTATAACGTCTCGCAAGCTACTCATGCCCCGCATTGCGCAAGGGTTGGGTACGTCGCCAGGGTAATTTTAAAGCCATTACCTTGACATTTCCCGTGGTTGCCCATTATCCCGCTCGACGCCTTCGTTCTGCGCGGCTTGCAACGCTGCAGCGGGGTCGCTGGTTGAGGATGCTGCTGGGTTCGGCATCGTCCTTGGGGGGGGCCTCCTGAGGCCCTCTAGGGCCGTCCGGTGGCATCTGAGCGCCCTTCGTGGGCCCTCTTAGCCCGACTTGGCGCCCTCTAGTGACCGTTTTGGGCCGTCGTGGTGGCCTCTTGTGCAGCCTTGGGCTCTCTGCAGGCCCGCCTGTGCCATTCTGGTCCCCTCTGGCTGCTTCGGTGACTGCCTGGGCTGGTTTTGGGGTTGCTGTGTGGGCCTTCAGGTGCACCCCTGAGGCCAGTGCGGCCCGAACAGCCTGGTACGTAACAAGAGACTGGCTGTCTGGGGCCTCTCGCGAGGCCTCCCGTGCGTTTCTCGCGTGCCGTTGGGGCTTCTAGGAGACCTCGACGTGTCGCGTCGCTCTGAGAGGGGCCTTCCCGCCGCAGGCGCTAGAGCTTTAACTGCCTGTAGTTCACGACGCGCTCGGACGGCACATCGAATACATGAGAGGCTACCCTGCGCTGGCAGCCGCCATCTGCAGCACCAGCTGGAGCCCGATGGTGGCGTACAGGACGAGCTCCTGCGCCTCAGCCGCGTTTCCAGCTCACCGTCGTACACCGTCCTCGGTGCGTCGAGCCGAGCCCGAGTGCTCGTAGAATCGGCGTCGGCCTCCGAGCTTCCGACGCTCCGCAGCCGTATTGGCTCAAGCTTCGTTGGCTCAGGCCGACTTGAGTTATCGGGCCGCTTGCGCGTCTCGGTTAACGTCCCCAGCTCATCATCCTTCTTGCATGGTCAGCGGGCAGTGTTGCTTCACCAGGCAGCAGCTGCAGCTCAGGAATTCCAGACAGTAGGCCGTTATATGTAAAGAAGGAGAGCTACAGCGATGGCGATGCTTAACATCCCCACTTCCGTCGATGACCCAGCCTACAGGTACAAGATGCCTCGGATCGTCTCGAAGAAAGAAGGTCGAGGTAACGGCAGTAAAACGGGCATCATGAACATGGGTGACGTGGCAGGTGCGCTGAAGAGGAAACCAGAGTACTGCGCAAAGTTCTTTGGGTACGAGCTCGGGGCACAGACTTCTTACTCGAACAACAAAGACACGGGAGAGCGCACTGTCATCAACGGCCACCACGAGACCAAGGTCTTCCAGGATCTCCTCGACAAGTTCATCGAGAAGTACGTCCTGTGCCAGAACTGCAACCTTCCCGAGATCGACATGGTGGTCAAGAAGGATCGGATCATGGCAGGTTGCAAGGCGTGCGGCTGGAGTGGAGAGCTGGACCCAGCTCACAAGTTGGCGAACTACATCGTCAGCCACCCCCCCGACACCGGAATCGGCTTCGACGCCGACACTGGCAAGAAAGCCAAGGCCAGCAGAGAGGAGCGCCAGAAGGCGCGCGAGGAGCGTAAGCGCCTTGAAGCAGAGGGCGGCGGCGACGCCGCCTCGGACGAGGAGAAGAAGGCAAAGAAGGACAAGAAGGACAAAAAAGAGAAGAAGGAGAAGAAGGCGAAGAAGGAGAAGAAAGATGATGGGGAGGACGACGACGAGGACGACGAGGATGAGGAAGGCGAGAAGAAGGAGAAAAAGGAAAAGAAGGCTAAGAAGGACAAGAAGGACAAGAAAGACAAGAAAGACAAGAAGGATAAGAAGGAGAAGAAGGAGAAGAAAAAGAAGGCCAAGGACGACTCCGACGACGACGATGACGAAGACGGCGACAAATCTGACGATGACCAGACGACCAAATACGGGGACGACGCCTGCAAGTCGCTGATCGCCGACATGGTCGCGTGGTCAGAGAAGCAGGGGAAGCTAACGCCTTCCGCCCTGTTCGACGAGCTGCGGCCAATGCAGGTGACCCTGCGCTTTGACAACTCCCTGCGGATGTTCGTGGTTCTAAGCATCCTATTCAAGGATGGAGACATGAAGGCGAAGGGTGTCACAGACAATAAAGCAATCATCAAACACTTCGTCACCAACGGGAACGTTGAATTTCCAGACTGGATCTGGGGCTTCGACGCGTTCCTCGATGCTAATCCGCAGTCCTTGAAAGGCTATCCGATGGTGCTGAAGGCGCTATACGACGAGGATATCGCAGATGAGAGCGGCATCCTGAAGCACTACAAGGCGGAGAAAAGCACGCCCGGTTTCGAGGCTGCCGCCAAGGTCGCCGCGCCATTCCTGAAGTGGCTCGAGACCGCCGACGACAGCGACGAGGAGTCCGGCTCCGGCTCCGGCTCTGGGTCCGACTCGGACTGAGCTCTGCTCCAGTGCGAAGTAGGTGCCCAGACCTCCAAGCGTCGCGAACAAATCACGACGGCCGTATCTGTTTTACCATGTGGTTCTCTAAAGGACGGTCCCGCGCCCAGGAAGCATTCAAATGATACGGCACGCGACGAAAAACCGATCCTGCGGGAAGGGTCGAGAGCATCGAGAGCTCTGGGGGACCACGTCGCGAAGAGATCACGACGTTTGAGGTCTGGATGTGACTCCCACTGCCATGGTTTTGGACCACCTTCTGGCCAGCTGCACAGAGCGGGACCGTGAGGTGCATCAGGGGTGTATCGGGGATCGCGAACTACACGCTCACATCGATCCTGGCCAGATCAAACCTGGGCCCGAGATGGGTGCATATGCGTTCCTGGCCGAGCCAGGGCGGCGTACACACCGATCCTAGGCCGAGGATGAGCCTGGCCAGGATCGGTGAAGGTGTATCGTGTGTGCCCTCCTGTAGCGTAGGCGGCCTGCTGTACGCACCATGCAAGAGGCCAGCTGCCGTCGCTGGCAACGGGCAGTTCCACTGGTCGAGGCGGTAGCGGTCTCGCTGCGCCGCCGCCGCGCCCGCCGCTCGGCCGAGGGGCGCAGCCAGAAGCCTCCGCCCGTAGAGGCATCCCTCAAAAGCTCGCAGACCCAACGGGCAAGCCCTGGAGTTGTGCACAGACAGCCTCCCTAGAGAGGGTCCAGGCTGGTCCCAACAAGTCCCAGGACAGCATCGGGCGGTCTCTAGCCCTGGCTGCTGTGCGGGGCCCCAAGGCTTGCCAGACCCGACGCCCTATGGAGGCTCGAGCCAGTGTTGCTCAGCAGGAGGGGGAGCGGCAGCAAGGTGGTGCTTTCTGAAGGGCGTCTTGCTGAGGGTCCTGGCAGGGATCACAAAGTGCTCCCGCAGGATCGCTCCGTGAGGGGTCGGGGTCGCCGGCTTGCGTCGCTGGGGTGCTGGCGCGGGTGCAGGCGCGGTCCACCTCCGTGCGTGCCCGCCCCGAGGATGGCGCCACTGGCCGTCCACCTGTCCCTCACCTTCCACTCCACTGCTCTCCCATGCCCCTGCTTGTTGGGCGCGCTGATGGGGCAACTGCGGGCCTCCTCCTCCTCCTCCTCCACCTCCTCCTCCCTCCTCCTCCCTCCTCCTCTTTCTCTTCCTCCTCCTCCTCCTCCTTCTCCTTCTCCCCTTCCTCTTCCTCCGCCCTCCTCCTCCCTCTTTCTCCTCCTCCTCCTCCTCCTTCTCCTCCTCCTCCTCCTCCTCCTCCTCCTCCTCCTATCCCATCAGCATCCAACATGATGGCGCGCGCAAGAAGGGACAGGGCGGGGCGGTCGGCCTTCTCCTGAGGTACCCTCACCCCGCCTCTTCGAAGGCCTCCTGCCTTGTCACGGACCTTCTTGGTGAGACGCTTCAGAGCACGGGTCGCCCCTCTTTTGAGAAGCCCCCTGCCTGCTTGGACGGCCACCGCCCTCGCCCCAATCCCATGGCACGCCGCCATGTGGCGATCGGATCGGGAAACATGTCTTGCCAGGGGCGTGCGTACGGGAAACCATTGCGTACTGTCTCTGACTGCGCGCCGAAGCGGCGACAGGAAGGGACGAAGATAAGGGCAAGGAGGAGGAGGCGGAGGAGGAGGAGGAGGAGGAGGAGTTGGAGAGGGAGGAGGAGAAAGAAAATGAGGTCGTCTTTTTCCCAGCATGGCTGGAGGGTGGGAGGGAGGGCATTGGAGCCCTAACAACAGCAACGAGTGAGAGCCACAGAGGCCCACGGGAAGGACAACGAGTACTCTGCAGTGTTGTTGCGTGTGTCTGCTGTTCCCGGCCCAGGCCGAGTCAGGCGTTGCCTATCGCGCCTTTGCTACTTTTGTAGCCTGGGGCACTGGGGCGCCACGGCCGCGATTCCGCGGCACCCGCGCCTCGGTTTTTGGAGCCCCCGGCGCCTCCAGCCAGTTCCTTGGCCCCCGAGTTCCTGGGCACTTGGGCGCTGTGCTCTGCCAGGTTACGCTGGTCCATGCCATGCCACGTGCTGATATGGTGGGAATCCGAGTGCAAACGCGATGCTATACTATGGTATGCAGTTGTCTGGTCTGAAATGCTATATGATGCTGTGTTTCGCCATGTAATGCTATAGCACGCGCTCATTGGAGGCCTCTTGGGCTGTCTTGGGGCGATCTTGGGAGCCGTTGGCGCCGTCTTGTAGCGTCGGACCCCCTACGCAAATCATTAAAACCATTGAAGGAGCATTGACTGGCCTCCTCGAGGTCCTCTGGGAGCCCTCTTGGGTTTGGGGGCCCCTGAGGCCGTCTGGAAAGCATCGTGGGTCGACTTGGGGCCATCATGGCCGTCTTGGAGGCGTCTTGGATCGCAGCAGGTGGGGCGAGCGAACGTGTCGCGAGGGCAAGAACATCGCGTGCGATCAAATCTAGCGCAGCTAGCGCTTTGGCAGAAGAGAAATTATATTTGAGGACTGCGCAGGAAGATAAAAAGAGGAACGCGAGGGCAACACGCGTGATGGATGCCATCAAGAAGCCTCTGTAGTTTTCTAGAACGGGACGCCCTCTGGGAGGCTCTCTAGCGACGTGCCGAGTTGGAGACCCTCGGAGAAGCCCCGGAGCTATCTGGAGCGGGATGCCTTCTGGGAGTCTCTAGAGCCCCCCAGATAGGGAGCCCTCCTGGGGCGCTCTGGTGCGTTCCAAGGCGGGATGCCCTTCGGGAGGAGCCATAGCTTTCCAGAGTGGGAGGCCCTCTGGGAGGCCCTCGGGCTGTTCAGAGTGGGAGGTTCTCCGGGGGGCCTTCGATTTTTCCAGAGCGGTGGGCTTGTGCGGGAGGCTTTAGAGCTTTCCAGCGTGTGATGGCCGTTCCGGAAGCGTTGGGCCTCCTAGGGTGGGGGATGCCTTGCGGGAAGCTCCACAGCCTTCCAGGGTGGGAGACCTGCGGGGGGGCCCCAGATCCTTCAAGCGTCGGGGGCGCTCTGGGAGTCCAGGGTTAAGCCGGGCACGTCCCCCTACAGGAGGAATATTCAAAAATAGTCCCAAAATAGTCTGAGGACGATTTTTCGAGTATTCTTGGCCACCTTGTAAGATTGTCGGGCTATTTTTGAACATGTTTCGCCCCAAATCCGCCTGTAGGGGGACATGCCCGACCGAAGGCTCGTGGGGAGGGCGGGGGGGTCGGGGAGCGGCACGGGAAGCTCCAGAGCTCAGGAGCGCGGGGCCGCCTCCCTTGAGGCTCAGGCGCCTGCCAGAGCGGGGGACCCTGTGGTGGATGCTCCAAGGCTCTGTGCGGAGCGGGAGGCCCCCTGGCAGGCCCCGGAGGGTTCCAGCCTGGGGTACCCTCTGGGCGGCTCTTTCGTGTCTTCAGGGGCCTGCTGCCCTTGCTGCCTCGCTGCCGCCGGCCGAGCCCCGGACTCGCGTCTGGCTCCCCATGGCAGGTCCCCCCTTGTCTGGAGGCCCTCAGCAATGCCTGGCCGCTTCCAGCCTGCCAGTCCCTAGGTGCGTCCTTGGGAGGTCATGGCGCGCACCGGCATTCTGCCCCGGACCCATCCGTTGACGGCTTGCCTCGCGCTGGGCACCTTCGCTGTCCCCACTTCGGCATCTTGCACTGGGAAGCTCTCTTGGAAGTGCTCCGGTTTCCGGTGCCCGAGGCCGCCCGCGCGCTCCCCTCCCCGCAGACTCTCTGCGGTCGGGCCTCCTTTCTCCTCCTGCCTCCACGGCCGCCCTTGTCTCTACTCCAACCGCACTTGCGCGCCTGAGCTCGGCGCGCCCCGCCGCGTTGCAGACGCGCTTGCGTCCGCCAGTGCTGCAGACAAAAGCTTTCAAGGGCCCCGTGCCACCTCGCAAGCTCTGGAGCATTCCCGAGTGGGCCGGGGCGCTTGGAAGGCTCGTCCGCGCGCTCGAGCGCGCGCGCGCGCGCTCACGTGCCCAGGCGCTCCGCGCGTTCGCCCGCGTGCCCGCCCACGCGCTCGCCCTCCGCGCCCGCGTGCGCGCCCGCGGGCGTGCTCGCCCGCCAGCGCGCCCGCCCGCGCGCGCGCGCGCCCGTGCGCATTGGTCAGGCATCTGGTCTCGCGCATTGAGCCGGCGCTTCGGCCAGCGCTCGGTCTGGCGCGCGAGTCCCGAGATCCTAGAGCTCGCCAGCGCAGGAAGCTCCCTGGGAATCTTTCCAGGCATCCACGGCGAGAGGCACTCGGTGGAGGGCTTCTCCGAAGGGCTTCGTGTGACCTCCTCCTCCTCCTCCTCCTCCTCCTCTCCTCCTCCTCCCCTCCTCCCCTCCTCCTCTCCCTCCCCTCCCCTCCCCCTCCCCCACCTCCTCCTCCTCCTCCTCCTCCTCCTCCTCCTCCTCCTCCTCCTCCTCCCTCCTCCTCCTCCTCCTCCTCCTCCTCCTCCTCCTCCTCGGGTCGCCAACGGCCCCGGGGGAAACCGTGCAGCACTCGAGGAGGCTCGGGCGCCTGCCAGAGCTGGGCGCCCCCTCGGAGGCAACGGGCGCGGGCGGGCGGCCCTGGCCGCCACGCTAATTACCTGACGATCTCGGCCGCACCGGCCGCCCCAGCAAGGTGCCCCACTGATTCCTGCACTAATGTTAAGTCGGGCCTGTCCCTATACAGGAGCAATGTACAAAAATAATAATCAACAAATAGTATGGGGGTGATTTTTTATTTTTCCCAACCATCCAATGGTGTTGGGTCCTCGTTTTGAAGAGACGGTCCCCGCGTTCCTCCTCTCCTCCTCCTCCCCCTCCTCCCCCTCCTCCCCTCCCTCCTCCTTCTTCCATGCGCTTCACCCATCCAGCACAGCGTTTCGTGGCCCCATAGGGAGCTCCACCGAAGCCCCCAGTGGTACCGCCCGCATGCGTCCGCCACCACCCAGCACAGCCCTTGCTCCCTGCGTTTCACCCACCCAGTACAGCGTCTCGTGGCCCCATAGGGAGCTCCACCGAAGGTCCCAGTGGCACCGCCCACATGTTTCCGCCACCACCCAACACGGACCTTGCGCCCTGCGTTTCACCCA